GTCTCCAGGCGCAGTTTTCACATGTGATCAAACTGCAGACATCTTCACCGTTCAACGGGCACGACTTCTTTACCTGGAGCTTTGAGTTCGAGCTAATGATGGAGGCCGCGCACCTCTTGGGATACTTCAACGGGTCCCTACCATTTCCAAGCAATGGCACTACAAAGGAGCAGAAAATCTTCACGTATCAGTCGCTACTAGCATACACAGTCCTCCTGCGAAACCTGTCACTACAAGAGCAACAGAGCATCAGAACATATCGGAGCTATGGAAACTCCGCGGAGCTCACTTGGCATCATATGAAATGTCTCCATCAAGCAAACGACTGTGTGACACAAAGCAGACTCATGCAGCAGTTGACAACAATACAAATGAAAACCGGGGAAAAGGCGATGCAGTATATGAGCCGCTGCAAGACACTTCGCGACCGCCTGCTTCGGTGCTGAGGCACAATCACTAAAGAAAGTTTTGTGACACTTGTTCTCGCCGGGCTCGGACCAGAATGGAGAACCACCCGCTCGCTTCTTCGCGCCCACGGACGAATTTCCGAGATGCACCTATGTGCAGAGCTTCATGCTGAACAACAGGAGATGGACCTGTTTGAAGAAGGACAACCACGAAAGCAGCAACCGTTAGTCTTCTACACTCAAAGGAGAAACGAAAACAACCACAATCGATGCGACAAGCAGAAACGACATGACACCAGAGGTCTCACCATCGTGCCGCCGTTCTGCCACAACTGTCAGACATCCGGACACTCCAAGGTCAACTGCACACGCCCTCGAGTTTATCGTCCAGCAGATCCGCAAGTCGCCTCCACTCAAGAGAATCCATCAAGCCGTTCCTCTACACCTGCACAAGGCGCACCGAATATCATTAATTGCATGGTACGCATTGACAACTGCACACCCGGGTCACCACCCACTTACGCTCCAGATGAAGAAGAACTGCCACCGCCATGCTCACAAGGTCTTCAGGACAACCCCACGTATGCTGCAGTTGCCAACGCCGAACCCACTGGGCGAAACACCTGGTTCCTCGACAGTTGCTGCGGTCAACACATGTGTTCCTCGGGGTGCTTCGTGCAACGAGAACGACGCCTCAACCGCGATGTCATCATCACCGTCGCCAACAATGAAAACCTGAAGACAAACAGACAAGGAGTCGTTCAGCTTCAGTCAATGGAGACAAATGTCATACTGCAACTCAACAAAGTTCTCATCGTCGACAATCTGGGATACAATTTACTAAGCGTCAGCTAGTTAATGGCGAAAGGAATTCACCTGGAATGCGACTCGGACACCAACGAGTTTCGTCTTTATCACGGGAAGGGCGGCCTCTTCATCGGTCGCGCTCTCCTAAAGTCGGGCGTCTTCGTGCTGGACTTCGTCTCCGACCGCGGCACTGGTGACAGCGACGGCATCGTGTTGTTCGCCGCCTGGACGCACCCGCCCGATCTTGACCCCGACTTTAGTCCAGGCGGGTTATGGTACTCCAACACCATCCCTGCAGCAGAGAGAACACGAGCATTAGCAGTCATTCGACAAGAATGACAAGTACCAGCGAGTATCCCTTCCCGGACATCACTTGTAGTAGCAGCAGCAGGACCCAGCCGTGCGCCATCACCAGCAATCCGAGGACCACCAACCAAAGCAGATCAGCTCATGCCCATCACCCAAGGAGTCTACCGCAGTCCCGCTACGGTCGTCGCGTTCTTCTCCAACGCCGACCTGTACGAGCGTTCTCCAGGCCATCGCGCTCCCGACGACATCTGGCATCAACGCCTCGGACACTCTGCAAACAGCACAATCCTTCAAACCATACAAGCCGGAGTATTAGAAAAGGACGCTCTTCTCACACCAAGCGGCCAGGAGCTTCGACGACCTCGCGCACGATGCTTCATGTGCCCCGAAGCTGATCTTCCCCATCAACCTTTCCCTTCGCACCACAATCCAAGCGCACCTGCATACGCACCGATGGAAAAAGTTTACAGCGATATGTTGAACATGCCTCGAGACGACAGTGAAGCCGAGTACAACTACGTCATCACATTCATCGACGCAGCCACACGATACGTCTGGCACTTCAACCTCAAGACTCGTGACCAAGCATTCGAAGCCTTCACGACGTGGCTCCCCATTGCTGAACGAGAATCGGGCTCCCAACTCAAGAGTTTCCAGTCAGACGGGGCAAAGGAGTATCAGTCACAAAGGTTCAGGAGCTACTTCGCAGAAAGAGGCATCAAACGCCTAGTGTCCCTGCCCTACGCCCACAAGCAGCAGGGGGTTGCAGAGAGGATGAACCGCACCTTGCAGACGACGATGCGGAAGCTGCTCCTGGGGATGAGCCTGCCCAACACCCTTTGGCCTGACGCGATGACGCATGCAGTCCACCTCCACAACCTACTGTCCTCGTCATCACTTCCCAACAACGCTTCACCCCACCTGCTATGGATAGGAAAAAAGGGCAGCACAAAATTACTTCGAGTCTTCGGCTGCATGGTACAGTACAGACCCCACACAGCCCGAGCAGGACGATTTTCTCAACGAGCACAGTGGGGACTATACCTCGGCATCACAAAACATTTTCACGCGTGGAACCTTCTCGACATCCAGGACAAAACCACTGTGGCCTCACGTGATGTGATTTTCTACGAGAGACTGACGCTGCAGCATTACCTGGACAACGTCGCCAACACCGCAGACCCCACCGACGGCTTCGAGGGCCATCGATCCTTCGCCGACTGTGCTGCCGAAGCTGACGCAGCAGAAGAAAACGTACCTGAAGCCTCGGAAACTGCCGGACCACTCCCTTACTGCTCCGTGCCCGTTCCACTTGACGACGACAACCCTCTCGATAGTAACAACCTCGACACCTTCTACCACTTCGCTGACCAGGGCTACACTACACCTCAAACGGTTGAAACAAATGTCTCTGAACGCATCGGACCGAATTTCTTACCTGATCCTGAAGATGGCGACGAAGCAGCTTATCCCGGGAGTGAAAATTCCCCTCGACACACACCCACGGGCCTGCAGATACTTGGACTATGCGTCGCCGTCCAAAGCCTGCCGCCGCCGTCACCGCGCGAGCCAACGACTCTGTCACAGGCTCTTGGGGGGGAACACAAGGCAAAATGGAAGGAAGTAATGGAAAAGGAACTGAAGGCCCTACAAGACCGAAACACATGGAAAGTAGTCGCTGCAACAAAGACCAACGGGCGGAATGTGCTCTCGGGGAAGTGGGTGTACCGAATCAAGACTAAAGCGGATGGCTCCATCGATCGCTTCAAAGCTCGCTGGGTCGTACGTGGATTCGATCAGCGATACGGAACCAACTACACGGAGACATTCGCCCCAGTCTCCCGACATACCTCCCTTCGCATTCTACTCGCCGTCGCGGCCACGAAACAGTTACCACTGCGGCAGATCGACGTCGCCAACGCCTTCTTGTACGCACCTGTGGACGCAGAGATCTTCGTTGAGCAGCCCCACGGTTTCATCGACGATCCCACAAAAGTGTGCCAGCTGATAAAATCCCTCTACGGAGTCAAACAAGCCCTGCAGGTCTGGCAGCAGCACCTTCACGGCCGCCTCGTCAGGATCGGCTTCCTGCAGCTGCCGCACGACCAAGGGATGTACCGATTGCAGAAGGGGAGCGATTTCGTCCTACTCATCGTCTACGTCGATGACCTGCTCTACGTTGGCTCCACTACCGACGTCGTCACCTGGTTCGAAGGGGAGCTGAAGAGTGACTTAATACTCACGGTGTCAGACACCGTCACCCAGTATCTAGGGTTGAACGTCGTCGAAGACGATTCGGCATTCTACCTACACGCCAGAAAGTACGCAGGCGTCATCACGAAGAAATTCGGACTAACGCCGATCGCAGCCGCAACTCCCTATCGCTACTGGAACGACAACAGTGACACCTCCGCGAAGCTCCCCACTAAGCAAATCCAGGAATACCAACAGAAGCTCGGCTGCCTCTTGTTCGCAGCAGTAACCTGCCGACCGGATCTGTCCTACAGCGCTAGCCAACTAGAGACACACCTAAAGCAGCCGGAGCAAGAGCATCTCGAGGAGCTGAATCGGGCACTGCTCTACTTTGTCTCTACGCCGACAGTCGGACTCACCTACAGCAAAGTAACACCAACGTTCGTACAACTACTCGGCTATGTCGACGCTGACCACGCGGGAGACAAGGAGAGTCGGCGTTCCAGAACGGGCTATATCTACATACTAGAGCTTATCGGGACTATTTCCTGGCAGTCGAGCAAGCAGGAACTAATCGCACTATCCTCGCCTGAAGCGGAATACATCGCTCTCTGCACTGCGACCAAAGAGGGACTTTATCTGCGGGAGCTGCTCGAGGAAGCGAAAATTGCGACCATGCCCGCCTTCTCGTTATTCTGCGACAACAAATCCGCGATAAAAATCGCGAACAAAAACGGGTTCGCCAATCGAACCAAGCACATCGCCCAAGGATGAGATCGCGAAGGGGAGACTTCAACTCAGTTACTGCCCCACGACAGAAATGGCTGCAGATTACCTGACGAAGAAACTGGCGAAGGCAAAGTTCGATTACTGCATGCTGCTGACCGGGCAGATAAACGTCACCGAATCCGGACACGTCAGCACTCTAGAAACGAAGGGGAGTGTTGGAAATACCTCGAAGACTTGAGCGTTTCTGAAGTGTAACACTACACTCGAGGAAAGTCGTATCGGGTACGCGAGGCAACGGAGGTTACATGAGGAGGTTGGACGAAAGTATACGAAAGAGCGAAGGGACTCTAAGGGTCGCAACCGGAGGTTGCGATTGACCGTTGCGATTGCAAGGATGGTAACCGAACAGACAATCGAGACGCTGTGCGACTCGATTACTGTTTCTTCAACTGTATTCTACAACTGCTTCATTTCTTATTTTCTATATATTGCTGTATGCCTGTTTCTTTTAATCAATCACTTGTTCTCACCTTCTAGTGCAAGGGTTCAACTACTCAACACTTCCGCTGCACTACTCAAGCATTTCATACAAGTGGGACTTAGTCTCTGAAAAGATCCTAGGGCTTTTCTCAGCCCAACAAATGTCAACCTGTGGCATACCCTCCGTTTTGAACAATACATAGAAACAGGTATGGTGGTTTGGTTTACATACATTTGTATCAAGATACCCAAGTTCAACTTCTTACGGGTGCGTGCCGGTGCCGTTACCTTCCAGATGCGTGATGGAGGGGCCAAATACGTGGATGGCATTATTGGACGAATGTGGTCAAACCGGGCACTACTGCTGCTTCCATAGTGCATGTCGTGTGGCGTGGCGTGGCGAGTACGAGAGGGGGCGGGGCGTTTTTGAGAATTCTCAAAAACACCCTGCAGGGCCCATGCTGTGCTCTAGGGGGACGGTGCTTGCGGCCGCCACGGCTCGAGCTCGCTGCGTGGGGCCCACACGGCAACATCGCCATCGGCATCGTCATCGCCATCCTTGAGAATGTTCACCACGCCCCGGCACGCGCTGCTGCCGCAGTTGCACGCCAGCTGCTCGTCCTGCGAGTCAAACCTGCGAGGGGGGGGGCGTGGGGTCAGGAACAGGGGCAAAAAGGAGAAAGGTTCAGGTGGCATGGTGGAAGGTTGAGAGGGCACAGGGAGGAGCAGTATCCAGGCGGATGAAAAGTCAGGTCGGAGGCAGTTGGCTTGAGCAGGCCCATCGTCGGCCAGCATGCGCATGCACGCCCTCCCAGCAGGCCTGTGCGAAAAGAGAAAAGACACCCCCCTGGGCATTGGAGGGTGTTTTTGAGAATTCTCAAAAACACCCTGCAGAAACAAAGACACCCCCCACCCCCCTGGGCATTGGGCATGGCGGCCCACGGCCTGCAAGGCCTGTTGCCTTGCAGGGCAAGCCAGTCCCCACCCTGTGTGTGGCGGGCGCGGGCGACTTATGAGTCGACTCAAAAGTCACAGCAGGCCAGTCCCGGCCGTGTGTGTGGCGGGCGTGGGCGCGGGGCTTGCCTGTAGTCGTAGGTGAGCTCCTCGCCCGCCCTGATGTCCCGCCGGGCGAAGATGACAATGCGCTCCTCCGCACTCGCCAGCACCACCCGCGAGTAGCAGTTGGGCTGCCGGGGGAGGGGGGGGAGAGATGGGTGGCAGGGAAAAACGGATCGGAGTGTGAGAGCACTGTGAGGAGTACATAACAGCACATGCATGGCGAGATGTCAAATCGCATGCCCTTAACACAACATCAAGAATAGGAGCAAGGGTGGTGCTAGGGAGGGTGTGACCGTCTGACTTACATTGCAGGAGTGGTTGATGAGGTGTGCTATCGTGCCCGCCCTGGTCGCATCGACCACGCGGTTGCCGTCGATGCGGAACATGTACGTGCCTGCGCCCTGTGGCCATGGCAGCACCACCACGTGCCACACACCATGCATCATGCCATGTATCAAACCATGTAACACACAATGCATCACACCATGTGGCACACGTCATGTATCAAACACCATGCACCATGCATCCGCCATGCAAATAAGGGGTGAAAGTGAAACTGGGAAACTTAAGATTCAACCTGGTGAGAGGACGGTAGAGAAAGCACGGAAGGTAGAGTCAGCACGGAAGTTAGAGTCAGCACGGAAGGTAGAGTCAGCACGGAAGGTAGAGTCAGCACGGAAGGTAGAGTCAGCACGGAAGGTAGAGTCAGCACAGAAGGTAGAGTCAGCACGCAAAACAAATGCTAATGACACAAATTTGAGCGAGACGATGCCGTGGCATGATGCATACGAGTGGCACGATGCATATTAGTGGCACGATGCATAAGAGTGGCACGATGCATATGAGTGGCACGATGCAAACGAGTGGCACGACGCATACAAGTGGCACGATGCATACAAGTGGCATGATACACACCACGAGTGACACGATACACACCACGAGTGGCCCGATACACACCACGAGTGGCCCGATACACACCACGAGTGGCACGATACACACCACGAGTGGCACGATACACACCACGAGTGGCACGATACACACCACGAGTGAGTCGTAGCAGCGTCGCTCCCTCAAGTCTGCCACCACTGGGCGCACCACCTCTCCGCCATACTCTATGATCTGTGGGACCCGCCCAGGGAGACAAACGCAAGGTCCGGCAAGATGAGAAGGAAGAGGGTCAGCCAAATCTAAGACGTACGAGTCAAGTCAGGAGGCAATAACACATAATGCAACTCGCACCATGTGATGGTAAGTCTACCACGAGACAACAGCAACTGCCAGATGGAGCAAGCGCGAGCACAGTGAGCGCTCACCATGTCTCCAGCTCGATGCGGCATCTTGGCAAACACACCCCACCCGTGGATGGCGGACTTGCCTGCACCGCCCACGCGCGCACACACATGAGGGGATGGCGTAACGACGGGAGAGGTCTATTTTGAGACTCCTCATGAGGCGATGGCATAACGACGGGAGAATCGCAATGAAGGAACAAGCGGGAGTAGCAGAGAGTGGATAAGAAGGAGCATGCATTTGTAAGTAGGAGCATGCAAAAGGCAGTGCTTGTGTTGGCCCGAGGATAAGTAGGAGCATTCCACTCATCCCCACCCCTGCCACGAATCCCTGTCCCAGCACGTACCAAACGCCAGTCTCTGCTGCTGGGTGGACTTCATCCGCCTGAAGCGGTCCGATATGGACCTCACCTCACCCTCCCCGCCCCCTGCCTGCCCCTCCTGCCCCTCCGCCCCGCCCACCAGCCCCGAGTGCAGCAGGCGCCTGAGCTTGCTCACATGCATGCCGCCCCTCGCCCCCCCCGGTCCCACGTCCCGCACGTTCTCCGCATCCCGACACACCTCCTGTTGCCCCGCCCTGCCCCCCCCCCCCCCACCTCCCCCTCCCCATCGCCCATCATCCCACTCCTCCCCGCCTCCACCTCCCCTGCTGCCCCTTCCTCCCTTCTCTCCCGCGCCGCCTCTGCCATGTGCGCTCGCACCACCTCCACCACCGACGGCCCCTGCACGCGCCGCCGCTCCTCGCGCCGCCCGCAGATGGCGAAGGGCACGTTCTCCAGAAACGACCGCTTTGCCAAAAACGCCGCCACCGCGTCCGGCTCCCTGCGCCCACGCCGGATGCGCGCATCAAAGGGCTCTGGAGGGCGGTGGGGGGGGTGGGGGCATTTTGAGAAATCGCAAAAATGGCTCCCTGCGCCCGTGCCGGATCCGCGCGTCAAAGGGCTCTGGGGGGAAGGGGGGGGGAGGGGAGGTGGGGAAGGGGGGCACGGAGCAGAGGGGTATGAGGCCAATGGGCCGGTGAAGGAGGTGGAGATAGACGCGGGAGAAAAGAGATAGGCAACTGCGGGTGACATCCAAGAGAGAGAGAGAGAGAGAGAGAGAGAGAGAGAGAGAGAGAGAGAGAGAGAGAGAGAGAGAGAGAGAGAGAGAGAGAGAGAGAGAGAGAGAGAGAGAGAGAGTGAGAGAGAGAGAGAGAGAGAGTGAGAGAGAGAGAGAGAGTGAGAGTGAGAGAGAGAGAGAGAGAGAGAGAGAGTGAGAGAGAGAGAGAGAGAGAAAGGCAATCCCTGTTATTCTCTCACCTGTTCGAGCACAGAGCACTCGCTCTCCTCCCCCGCCGTCATTGAGCGGCACGCTACAGGCCGCTGCGTCGCGCATGCTGCTGTCCATCTCACTCCCGCCCTCGCTGCTGCCGCCCCCACTGCCATTGCTCTCACTCCAACCGCTCTCACTGCCACTCCGACTCCCACTCCCATCCTCATCCCCCCCCCCTTCGCCCTCCTTGCCTGCCCTGGCACTACCACCGCTCCCATTCTCCCGCACACATTCCCCGCCCCCATCCCCCTCACCCTCATTCCCTCCCATTCCCCCCACCCCTTCCCTCCCCCTCTCCGCCTGCCCATTGCCCAATGCAGCACCGGTGGCAGAGGGGACAGGGGAGGGGTGACGGAGCAGGTGTGCCATGGGGAGCACCTTGGGGCGCGGGTCACAGGGGCCAGGGGAGGCAGCAGCGCCCGACGCGGCTGCTGCAGAGGCAGTGGAGGGAGGGGGAGGGGTGGCAGCAGGCGAGGACGTGGCAGCGTTGGGGTCAGGGGAGGGGGAGGGCGCGGAGGGGTGGGGCGGGAGGGAGGGCGTGGCGTGGAGGGGCTTGGCGCGGCCGCGGTGGCGCGGGCAGAAGCAGATCATGGCGACAGAGCCCACCACGGTGCCGTGCAGCTTGCTGCGCTCCATGCTCTCCTCACTCATGTCCAACGTCTGGGGGGTGGGGAGAGAGTGGGGAGAAGACTATTCTTTAGGTGCCTCAAAAATAGACTCCTCACCGTGGCATGCAGCGTGCTGCGCTCCATGCTCTCCTCACTCATGTCCAAGTCTGGGGGACCAGTGCGTGGGGGGGGAAGGGAAAGGGTGAACCGGGATGATGAGTGAAAGAGGTACGCACAGCAGCGTGAGGAGACAGTGTCTGCTGTGCTCTGAACACCTCCCACTCACCAGCATGAGGCTCGACAATGACCAGCATGGGGCAGCCTCTATTCTGACCAGCACAGAACAGCCTGCTCTCACCAGCATGGGGCAGCACGGCTCTCACCAGCATGGGGTAGCCTCAATACTGACCAGCATGGGGTAGCCCTTGAGCTTGGCACAGAGCGGGTGGAAGGCGGTGTAGCACTGCCCGGCGGCGCACTGGATGCAGGCGCCGTAGGGGATGCGGCACACACAGCACCGCAGCTGCCACCGCGCCTGGGGGGATGGAGGGGCCATGAGAGGGGGGTGCACGAGTCAACGCAGTGCAGGGATGGCCGGGGTGGCCGGGATGAACGGGAATCTAGTTTTGAGGCGCCTCAAAACTAGACGGGATGAACGGGGTGGACGAGATGGACGAGATGGAAGTGACATCATGAAATGGCGAGGGCTGGAATGAGAGAATCGGCACGAGCTGTCCTCCCAGACAGCATGTAAGCGTGTGCACACCTTGGGTATGTTGTCGAACCCAGTGACTGGCTCCATGCGCTTGATGTTCACAAAGGACGTCTCTGCGGGGCAAGGGGCGCGCAGGGAAAGGTTGGGGAAGAGAGCATGAGAGGGGAACCAGCAACGGATGCAGCAACGAGCACCCTGTGCACGGATGCAGCATGAGCGTGAGAAGTCTATCTTTGAGGCGCCTCAAAAATAGACTCCTCATGCGGGGAACCAGCAACGCATGCAGAAAGCACCCTGTGCACAACCCCATGTGACCCTGCAACATAGCGCTCATACCACACAATGTCCAGCCCCCTCTATGCGCACCTTCCATGGCCACATGGTGCATGCGAGCAGCAACTGACCTGGGATCCAGAGCGAGCAAGCCATGTGCGCCCACAGCCCATGCACCGTGCGCTTCATCGCTCCCCCTGCCCACCGTGGTGGTGATGGCGACGGTGATGGTGATGGTGATGGTGATGGCGATGGTGGTGGTGATGGCGATGGTGGTGGCGATGGCGATGGCGATGGTGATGGTGATGGTGATGGCGATGGCGATGGTGATGGTGCGACACAACCAGCATGGGTGGCATGGACATGAAGGGGCCAAAAAAAGGGGGAAGGGAGAAGGGAGACGGAAAACAACATTGCGATGAGGGAAGAGGTGGGAATGTGGGAGGGGTGGCGAGAATCAGGACATGGGGGCAGACGCAAGGTCGGCGCGCCAGGGGAGGTGACTTTTTAGGCTTTTGAGGCGCCTCAAAAGGACATGGGGTGCTTTTGAGGCGCCTCAAAAGTCAGGACATGGGGGCAGGCAGACGCGAGGTCGGCGTGCCAGGGGAGGTGAGTGGGCTGAGATACAATGCTGCCTGCTGCTCTAGTACTGGGCGGATGAGTGGGGCTAGAAATACCAGCGGATGGGCTGGGCACCATAAGGGATGGGCCTTGATGGGATCATGGAAACCGTAAGTTGGAAGAGGCCATGGGGAATGGGAGAACAGACAGACCATCGGGCATCGGGCTCAGAGTTTGGGGCACACACCTTGCACGGGGCAGAGGCAGCAGAGGGGCTTGGCGTCCCGCTTGCCCTGGCGCTCGTGCTTGCTGCACACGTCGCACAGCCAGAGCCCGCCGTCTGGCGGCTGTCTGACGCCGTAGCACGCCATGTGCACCATGATGCGGCAGCCGTCGCACTGCAGCAGTTGGTCGTCCTCGTACTCCTGCACACGCACATGCATGCATGCACGCATGTAGGCACGCACATGCACGCATGCACGCACGCACGCATGCATGGGGGCACAATGTCACGGTTAGCGATCAGGGTCCCACACCTGTCTGGCGACATCGCAGTGACGGCTGCATGCATGCTGAGCTTCATCTCGTCCAATGCACACATCCCATTTCAGCACACAGATCCGACCTTCTCCTCGTTAGGCATCACATACACCTCACCCCTGAGACCCCTCCCTCACCTGGCTGGGGCAGCGCCTGTCTCACCTCGGAGAGGCAGCAGACGTCGCAGCGGTCCATGGCAGCCTGCCGGTACTCCACCGCCTTGAACCCCGCCGGCAGCCGCGACTCCTTCACCGCCCCCCCTGCCCCCCCGCTCCCTGCCCCCCCGCTCCCTGCCCCCCCTGCCGCCACGTCCGCCTGCTTCGCCTGCATGCAGCCCTGCTTCGCCCTCTCGCCCCTGCTGGGGTCCGTGGGGTGCCCTGAGGGCGCGGGGCGAGGGGCGTTCAACCACGCTGTGAACAGCTTGCACTGGCTGGCGCCAGGCAGGCTCTGAGAGGGGGGGGGGGGGGAGGAGAGGAGCAGGGGGGGTGCGGTTAGAATGGGGCATGAGTAATTAGGCTGCGGCTTCAGCCACAGGTACCTGCTACATTTACCCGAACGAGCTGTCTGCCCCATTGCTCATGACGAGCTCTTGGTTACGCTCACTTGAGTGCTCTGCTTCTACATTTCTGTTGCACTCACCTGGATGAGCTGTGCGACTCTAGGTTGCGTGAGAGGAGCCTAGTTTTGAGGTGCCTCAAAACTGGTTACGCTCACTTGAGTACTGTGCTTTTACATTTCTGATCATTCACCTGGATGAGCTGTGCGACTCTGGGGTGTGTGAGAGGAGTCCAGTTTTGAGGTGCCTCAAAACTGGTTACGCTCACTTGAGTGCTGTGCTTTTACATTTCTGTTGCACTCATCTGGATGAGCTGTGCGACTCTGGGGTGTGTGAGAGGAGTCTAGTTTTGAGGTGCCTCAAAACTGGTTAGGCTCACTTGAGAACTGTGCTTTTACATTTCTGATCATTCACCTGGATGAGCTGAGCGACTCTGGGGTGTGTGAGGCCGAACATCTGAGCCCCTGACCGCACGTGGTGCGACGGCAGCCACGACCCGCACCGCCCGCTGCCCCTGCTGCCACCGCTGCCACAGCTGCCCCCACTACCGCCCCACGCCCCACCCACCCCCCCACACTCCCCCCCACAGCTCGGGCTACCACTGCCATGCGCTGCCCCCGCCCCAGCGCCCTGTGGTGGCAGCGTTTGCAGGTGGGGCGGCAGTGGGGAGGGGGTGAGTGGGAGCACAGATGAGGGGGAGGCGGCGAGGGGGTGCGCTGTGGGGACAGGGGGGGAGCACCACGTTAGTGGCTCTGCTGGCCCCATCCCCTGGGCTTGCTGCACACGGACTCCTGCTGCTGCTTCACCCCTCTCGTCCCCACCATGCCCATCTACGACCATGGCTTCCGCCTCTGCCTCTCTGTGCGCTCCGCTCCCCCCTCTCCTCTCGCCACTCTCCTCTGCCTCTCTGTGCGCTCCGCTCCCCCCTCTCCTCTCCTCACCACGTCCCCTCTCTGCCTCGCCACACTCCTCTACCCGCACCTTGCCATCCGCCGCCCCACCACCACCTGCCATGGCCACGCCCCCTCCTCCCTCTCGCCGCTCTGCCTCCTCCGCTCCCCCAGCTGCTGCAGCATCTGCGCCCGCCCTGCCCCCCTCACCCCCCTCCGCCCGTGCCCGTGGCACCGCTGCCCCGCTGCCCTCCCCCCGCTGCAGCAGCACTGCCAGTGGCACCATCATCGGCCCTCCCCTCTGTGCTCGCGCATCCCCTCCCCCCGCCCCTGCCCCCGTAGACCCCCTGCTCCTCCCCCTGCCCCTTCCCCCGCCCCTCCCCCTGCCTCTCCCCCTGCTCCTCCCCCTGCCCCTCCCCCTGCCCCTCCCCTTGCCCCTCCCCCTGCCCCTCCCCCTGCGCCCCTGCCTGGCGGGTGCAGGTGCAGCAGCAGCAGGCGCTTGGCCTCCGCCACCCGCCTCTGGATGACCCGCCAGCACTCGCCGGGAGACGGACCTTCCACCTGGACATGTGGGTTTAGGGTCAGGAATGCAGTTTGAGAGAGGCACTAACTCAAGATGCACGAACCAGGTGGGGATGTGCTGTTGAGGCGCCTCAAAAGCAAGTTGCACAAACGAGGTGGGGATGTGGCACGAGGAGCACAAGAGGAGAGCGGCGGACGAGGAGAGAGGGGCAAGAGAAGGAGCACATACCGGAGCACAGCCATCAGGGGTGACTCGGAATATTGGTCCACCAGGCACTGGGGTGTTTCCAGCAGCACCCCCTGTGCCACCAGGCGGCTGCTTCTTCTGCTGCTGCTTCCTGCTCGCCTTGGGCTGCTGCTGCTGCTGCATGCGCTGCGGTGTCTGCCGCAGCTGCGGCCGCCGCCATGCCCCCTGTGACGGGTCCGATGGCACGGCTAATGCTGCAGCAGGTAAGGCAGGAGGGGCAGGAGGAGGCGGTGGCTGCGGCTGGAGAATCTCCATAATGTGGTTCACCACCACCCGCGGGTCTGGGGGGGAGGGGGAGGGGGGAGGGGGAAGGGGAAGGGGGAGAGGGAGGGGGGAGGGAAGGAGGGGGGAGCGGGGGGGAAGGGGAGAAGAGGTTGGGTTGAAAGTGTGGGAGTAGAAAATACAGGAAGGCCTGGAAATACAGGAAGGCCAGGAAATGGGAGAAAGAGCGGCAGACGCAGGTGGCAGGGAGGCGGGCATGCAGCACCTTGCGCAGAGGGGAAAGGGCGGACGGCCTTGTAGCCGACGGGGTAGATGTGCTGCGCCGTGTGGAAGCCTGGGTCACACGGCAGCACTCGCCCTGGGGGGTGGGTGGGGTAAGGTGGGAGGGAGAGGGGGGGTGAGAGAAGAAGACCCCTGGATGGACGCAAATGGAGCTGGCTGGATGAACGCCAAGAAAGGGAGCTGGCTGGATGAACCCTGAATGGGCGACTTTTGAGTCGACTCAAAAGTCAACCCTGAATGGGAGGCGACTTTTGATTCGACTCAAAAGTCAACCCTGAATGGGAGGCGTGGACGAGAGAGATGGCTTCGTGTGGGGCGACGAATAAGGAAGCAGGAGAGGGAGGGGTGGAAGAAAGAGAGGAGCATGATGGGGCGTACCGAGGGAGAGCAGTGTGAGGGAGCCGATCTGCAAGGGCACGGAAGGCGGCGACGTGGCTGTGGTGGCGGTTTCAGCTGCCATCACCGGATCCGAGACTGCTGCCTGCCCCTCGCTCCTCCTCGCCTTCCCCCCTTTCGCTTCACCCGGCGCCTCTTGCCCCCCTGCCGCCCCCGAGCTCGCCTCTGACTGGCTCACGCCACGCCCATCCATCACCGCATCTCCCACCACTGCTAACCGCCCCTTCACCTGCGCCCCTCCCCTGCCACCACTGCCTGCTGCTCGCACCTCCATCTGCCCCTGCCTCAACTCTTCCTCCGCCTCTGCCTTCCCCCTTCCCTCCTCCCCGTTGCTCTGGCTGCCGTCCCCACTCCCACTGTGCCGCTCGCTCCCCTCCTCGCTGCCCCCCTCACTGTCCTCCTCGCTCGTTCCCTCGCTCCCCGACTCCTCCTCGCTGCCCTCCTCCGACCCCGACGGGTGCAGGAACGCCATTTTGGGCGGCAGCTCCTCCGCAAGCAGGAACCTGCGGGGCACGGGTTGGGGGGAAGTTGGCTCAAAAGTCAGCCCATTTAGGGCGGCAGCTCCTCGGCAAGCACGAACCTGCAGGGGCACGGGTTGGGAGGGACCCAAGGGTGTTGCAGTGAGCGCCTTGGCATGAGAGAGGGCTCGCCTCAGCAGCTGCAATAGAAAAGGGGGAGAGTTCAGGTCTATTGTGCCCGGAGGCAGTTGCGTCATGCGAGGCCAGGCACGCACCTCTCAACCTCCACGAGTGCGGTTTTGAAGCAGGCGCCCTTGCTCTTGTTGTGCAGCCCCTTGGCGAGGCCGAGCAGGAAGGGGCAGACGGCGGAGACAGCCACAATGCTGCACTCGTACGACCCGAAGAAGTGCACCAACGCCTCCGCCCGGCCCGCCTCCCTCACCGCACGCAGCCCCACTCGCACCGAGTCCGCGGGGTCCAGCACCATGGCTGGCCACGCAGGGTGACCTGCCGGGGGAGGGGGGATGCACAGCAGCACAGGTGTATTTCGAGTCGATTCAAAATACGCCCGCCCCGCCTCCCTCACCGCACGCAGCCCCACTCGCACCGAGTCCGCGGGGTCCAGCACCATGGCTGGCCACGCAGGGTGACCTGCAGGGGGAGGGGAGATTCACAGCATCGTGGGTTAGCTTTTGAGTCGACTCAAAAGCGTGACCTGCAGGGGGAGGGGAGGGGAGATTCACAGCATCGTGGGTTAGCTTTTGAGTCGACTCAAAAGCGTGACCTGCAGGGGGAGGGGAGGGGAGATTCACAGCATCGTGGGTTAGCTTTTGAGTCGACTCAAAAGCGTGACCTGCAGGGGGAGGGGAGGGGAGATTCACAGCATCGTGGGTTAGCTTTTGAGTCGACTCAAAAGCGTGACCTGCAGAGGGAGGAGAGGGGAGATTCACAGCATGGTGGGTTAGCTTTTGAGTCGACTCAAAGGCGTGACCTGCAGAGGGAGGAGAGGGGAGATTCACAGCATGGTGGGTTAGCTTTTGAGTCGACTCAAAGGCGTGACCTGCAGAGGGGAGGAGAGGGGAGATTCAGAGGGGTGACTTGCAGGGGGAGGGGAGAACATCCCACGCGGGCCCGGATGGGTCCTAGGGTTGGATGAACCCCACGCGGGGTGACCTGCAGGGAGAGGGGAGATTCACAGCATCGTGGGTTAACACTCCGCCCCAATGTACCCCCCCTCCTCTCTGCTCATTCCATATTCATCGCTCCCCCAGTCCCCCGTGCGCTACCTTTCTTCCTACATCCTCCCGTGACTATCTTTCCAAACACTCCCCCTTTAACCCTCGCCACGTTCTCTGTCTGTCTCCCCCCAAACCTCCAACTTTATCCTCCCCACGGACCCCTCCACCCCTCGCCACATCCCCCCTGGACCCTCGTCTCCATCCCTCCTGTCCCTGATTTTGTCCCGCTTGTCCCGCTCCGCCCCATCCGCTCTCACCCTTCACGCGCGCCCACACCAGCTCCTTGGCGCCGAACCTCCCCAGGCTCAGCTCCTCCACCGGCCCTCCTGCCCACCCCGCCACGCCACACACGGACGAGCCCGCCCCTACGCCCTCCCCCGGTGCTGCGCCCTCCCCCGCCCCCTCCGCCTTCCCCTTCCCTGCAGCGCCTTCCTCCCGGCCCTTGAGCTCCCTGGGCGCACTGCGAGCGGCGGAGGAGAGCATGGCAGCGGCGGCCAGCACCGCGGCGCGCGCGGGGTCCATGTCGCGCGCCATGCTCGCCGCCAGCTCCACCAACTCCCGCCCGCTCTGCCCGCGCCCCTGCCACCCCCGCCTCCCCTTCGCCCCCCTCCCCTTGCCACCCTTTGCCCCCTTTGAGACCTCCCCCACCACCTCCACCCCGCCCTCCTCGTCCTCGTCCTCGTCTCCCTCATCACCACTCCTTTCATCCTCCCCTTCCTCCTCCCTCCCCTGCTCCTCATCTCTCCCACACACTCGCCCACCACCATCCCTGCTGCACTCCTCCCTCCCAGAGGACTCGACTTGGGGGGCAGCAGCAGCAGCAGGAGCAGCAGCAGCAGCGGCAGCATGAGCGGCAGGGGGAGAGGGGTGGGGGGCGGAGCAGAGGGCGAGGAGGGGGTCGTTGCGGGGGAGGTGCAGCTTGATGCGCTCAGCCGGCAGGCGCAGCCACTCGCTCTCCGTCTCGTCGTACCGCACCTGGTGCCGCCCCGTGCGCAGGTCAAACGCGTACACCAGCCCCGCATACCACTTGTCGTCCAGCGGCCAGTACACCTGCATGCGCCAGTGGGGGCACAGAGTGGCATCACACAAGCGGTTTGCGGTTATGGCTGGAGCTGGGAGGCAGAGCAGGGGACGAGGCATGAGAGGCAGGAGAGGCAGGAGAGGCAGGAGAGGCAGGAGAGGCAGGAGAGGCAGGAGAGGCAGGAGGCAGGAGAGGCAGGAGAGGCAGGAGAGGCATGAGAGGCAGGAGAGGCAGGAGAGGCAGGAGAGGCAGGAGAGGCAGGAGAGGCAGGAGAGGCATGAGAGGCAGGAGAGGCAGGAGAGGCAGGAGAGGCAGGAGAGGCAGGAGAGGCAGGAGAGGCAGGAGAGGCAGGAGAGGCAGGAGAGGCAGGAGAGGCAGGAGAGGCAGGAGAGGCAGGAGAGGCAGGAGAGGCAGGAGAGGCAGGAGAGGCAGGAGAGGCAGGAGAGGCAGGAGAGGCAGGAGAGGCAGGAGAGGCAGGAGAGGCAGGAGAGGCAGGAGAGGCAGGAGAGGCAGGAGAGGCAGGAGAGGCAGGAGAGGCAGGAGAGGCAGGAGAGGCAGGAGAGGCAGGAGAGGCAGGAGAGGCAGGAGAGGCAGGAGAGGCAGGAGAGGCAGGAGAGGCAGGAGAGGCAGGAGAGGCAGGAGAGGCAGGAGAGGCAGGAGAGGCAGGAGAGGCAGGAGAGGCAGGAGAGGCAGGAGAGGCAGGAGAGGCAGGAGAGGCATGAGAGGCAGGAGAGGCAGGAGAGGCAGGAGAGGCAGGAGAGGCAGGAGAGGCATGAGAGGCAGGAGAGGCAGGAGAGGCAGGAGAGGCAGGAGAGGCAGGAGAGGCAGGAGAGGCAGGAGAGGCAGGAGAGGCAGGAGAGGCAGGAGAGGCAGGAGAGGCAGGAGAGGCAGGAGAGGCAGGAGAGGCAGGAGAGGCAGGAGAGGCAGGAGAGACAGGAGAGGCAGGAGAGGCAGGAGAGGCAGCATCACAACCGTCCCACCTTGCAAAGCCGGCCGATGAGAGCCCTTGGATCCACTCCGGCCAGCGGCACCCTGCAGGCATCAGAGCAAGCAGAAGAAGGCAGGCCAGACTCGAGTCAGCGAGCTCTAAGGAGTATAAAAGGCAGCAAAAACTTGGAACACGGGAGGCGATGGGCTGCAGAGGGGCGGTTGGGACGGCAGGTGTGCATTACTCGGTCCATTGCGGTCGCTGCATGTCAGCCATCAGCCGGTCCACGTAGCTCTCTATCAGCCGCCGCCGCTTTGGGGTCAACCGACTCTTGTCGCTCTGCCCCGCTACTGCTGCTGCTGCTGCTGCTCCTTCCCCCTCACCCCGCACCTGTTGCTCGCCGCCCTTGTCCAGCCGAGCATGGGCAGCGGCCTTGGCAGCACTGGCTGCACCGCCAGAAGTCACAGCGGCAAGCCCCACTCTCTCCTTCTCGCCCTCACCCGCCTCACACTTCACCTGCACTCGTGCTGCTGCTGCTGCTGCTGCTGCTGCTGCTGCTGCTGCTGCTGCAGGAGGCACAATGGGCACAGGGGCAACGGGAGCCAGAGGAGGCAGAGGAGGCAGAGGAGGCAGAGGAGGCAGAGGAGGCAGGGAAGGCGGCAAGGGCGCAACAGCAAGCAGAGGGAGCGCGTCTGGGAAGAGGCGGCGTTTGCTGCAGGCCAGGTCGTCCTCGGGATCATCAAGCACCACGTCATCGAGCGCCACGTCATCAGTCTGCATGGCCACCGCCCCTCCTCCCTCACTCACACTCCCTCTCACTGCTCTGCTCTCCCCCTCCAATAAACCAGCACCCTCACCCTCTGACTGCTCTGCCTTGACCTTCACCTCGTCTTGGCCCTTCACACCAACGCTGCAGGCAGCTGTCGTTCCTCTGCTGCCATCATCCGCTGCGCCCTTATCCCCTCCCTCCTCCCACTTCTCCACTTTCTGCTGCACCTGAGCAGGCCCGGTCCCTTGTACCTCTTCAACTGCCGCCTCTGCTGAGCTCGAGACCGTTTCAGCGCCTTTGCTCATCTGCACCACCTTCTTTTCGCCCTCTCTCGTTTCTCCTCCCTCCCTCTCACCAGCTTCTTCATCTGCATCCACCTCGCAGCCCGCCACCAGCACCATGTCCCCACCACCCTCCCTTTCCTCCTCCGCCGCCGCGTGGCTCGCGTGCATCTCTGCCAAGTCGCCCTCCAACCCGCCCGTCACGCCACCCTCCACTCTGCCATCGCCCTTCTGCCGCCCGCCCGCCCCCGGTATTTCCCAAGGACTGCCCACTTCGCACGTACTGCCCGCCTCGCCTGCGGGTTTTGCTGCTTCAGGGTGGGTATCAGCGTGGGCAGGTGCGGAAGAGGAGGGAGCGACGGGAGACAAGGCGGGCAGGGACGTGGACGCATGGCCACACGAGTGTGCCACCCGTTGAATGACCCCATCCGGCCCTGAAATACGAGCACCGAGTTTCTCAGCACCCTTCTTACCACTGCCGTCCTTGGCATCGCTCTTCTTATCTCCACCATCCTTGCCTCCACCGAGGTCGTCAGCACCACGTCTATCAACAGCGTCCTCCTCACAGCTCTGCACCACAGCCGCTGCTTCCCCCCCCAGGCGCGCGGGGAAGCAGATGGCGCACTCAGAGCCGCACCCCAGCGAGTCCCCCTCCGCCCTCTCGTGGCTCGAGTCGTGCGGGCTGCCCGCATGCCCCGCCACTGGACTCGCCGCACGCACCGCCACGGCCGCCACCTCCGCGCCCCCGCCCGCCTCCACCACGCACACAGCAGGGCTGCGCGGCCGCACGAGCGCAATGGCGGCGGGCTCTTGAGAGCTCTCAAAGGCCAAGGGCAGGTGCGGCAGCAGCGCGGGCGGCGGCAGGAGCGCGTGCACGCGGTGCAGCGCCACCTTGACCTCGCCCACCACCTCCACCTCCACCACCTTGGGACCATCGCGCGGATCAACGGCCTCCAAGCAATCCCCGCTTGCCGGCCGCCCATCGCATGCCTGCGCGCATACCTGTAACCCCACCTGTTCCTGCGCCTGCGCCTGCGCCTGCGCCCCTTGCTCGCACAAGACGACAACTGCACTCGTTTCTCTGCTACCCGCGTCCCTCTCTCCGCTGCTCGACTCCGCCTTTGCTTCCGCGCCGACTGCGCTCACCATGCTGCCCGCGCTCTGCTCCCCGCCATGCAGAGCGACGGAGCAAACCCTAGCGGCATTGTCTGGCAGCGAGGCGAGCGGGTGGGACGCGGGAGGCAACGAGCTCATGCGGCGGCGCTTGTACACGCTCAGGCCCTCCTCCGCCAACTGCCGGCGCTTGTCGCACGGCGAGGCGTCCGAGGCAGAGCTGCGAGTCACGGCTGCCGCGGGGAGCACCCCCGCGGGCGCGGGCTGCTCGCTGCCGGTCAAGAGGCGCCCACCCAACAGGTCGCTGCTTTCGCTGCTCTCGGACGTGCGAACGCGCCGGCTGCGCAAGACAATATGGTTCTTTTCGCTTGACGACGCCTTGCGACTGTCGCCCGAGATCCCGTCGTGCACGTCGTCGCGGCCCATCCGTCCCGCCGGCTGCTTCTTCTTCGCCGCAGCTGCTGACACGTTCGCACGCTGCTCCTCCCGCTTCGCCAGCATCCCCTTGATGTTGCACTGCACGTACCGCCATTTCGGCGCTGCGGCAATGGTGCAGTCCGTGTCCGCCGCCCTCTGCGGGTCCGCCTTCTTCCGCATACTCGCAGAGCGGGATCACGCACAAAACGGTATTAAGGAGTTTAAGTAGTTAGTAAAGATTAGGACTTAGCCTGGATGGCTGCGGCTAGTGTAACCAACCCAGGAAGCCTTGGGAAGTATACCAAAGTGGTCGTTGTAAAGGCTGGGGTGAATGTGAAAGATAGGAGAGGTTCGAGACGGGGTGGGTGGGTGAGGGATGGGGTTGGCTGAAGGAGGCGAGGCGAGTTTCGTGGTCAAACCCCCATTCGAAATTGGATTCGAGGTTTCAAACTGGCAGGATCCGATAAGAGCAGACGACGAAGTAAAGCCCAACCTAGTACATATAGGGGCTCTTTGATGACGCCCTACATTTGCAAGAGCATGTTATGAAATCCACGGAAATAACGGTGCCATGAACAAAGATGTGCTAGTTCATGTGCTCCCCAGAACCTAGGAGAGCTCGTGAATATTGATATGCAATCCGGTAATCGTTTGGCATTTGAATATATCTAGCGTGTTCATATCTCCCTGCTTCTGGAACGCGTGTTCATAGCATTTTCCACCGCACTCTACCGCTCTCCACCGCTCTTCGCTGCTTTCGTCCGCCTTTCCTCCTTTCCCTGTCAACGCTAGTCAGCTGCTGCAGCCGTAGTGATGGCAGACTCACAGCTCTGCCTGGACCTGGAGGATCGTGCGATAAACTTCAAGGCGTAGCTCGTCGACCTCCGCCGTCACCTTGCAGGTCAGCGCCAGGACGGTCACTCCCTGGCTGTTCATATCGATGGCCTGCTTCCCCGCCCCGCTGCGCCGGTTGCCCTCCCTGTTGCCCCCACCACCGCTGAGCGGGAGGCCTTTTCCGCTGTTGCGCTTGCTTGTGCTGTCTGGGACTCGCGCGACACCGTCGCGCACCTTGCTATTAGTCACGCGCTTCCTCTGGCTGAGCGTCCTCGCTTTACCACTGTAGTGAACGCCCAGGCTTTCTTAGATGCTGTCATTGCGCCCTATTCCACCCCCGCATCTGCCTCTGCTGGCCGCCTGATCCTCCCCACGTTGTTCCCTGATCTTCCGACCGTCCCCACTGTCGCCGACCTTGTAACTCACCTCCGCGCGCTCAAGACTCGCTACCGCGCTGCTAGCACCGAGGCTCAGCTCACTGCCTTTCCGTCGGTGCTCTGTGCTACCCTTTATCTCATTGCCACGCGCCTTCCCGACCGCCTAGCCACAGCCTGCGACCACTTCCTTAGTCAGCACCCGGGTGACCTCACCCTCCCCACCTATGTCACTGCTCTTTGTGCGATGAGACCCGCCAGCGCACTATCGCTCAGTCTAGCGGTACTGCGCCGGTCCCTATCTTTCATGGCTGTTCTCCCTCCCAGTGCTCTAACTCGGACGTCTCTGCTTCTGTTGCTGAGACCGCCGCTGTGGCCTTAGCTCAGTTGCGTCCGGGTAATCGCCGCCGCCCCAAAGGGGGGCATGGTGGAGGTAAGGGGGGTGGGGGTGGGGGCAGGGATGGTGGTTCAGACGAGGGGACTGAGGCTGGTGCCCCGGAGCAGTAGCAGCAACAGACGCCGTGTCTACAGCAGCAGCAACACACTCAGCAGCCACACCAGCAGCCGCAGCAGTAGTCGTCGCAGCAGCAGCAGACGACGTGGGGAACCGCGCCGCCTTGGTGGACTGGCGGCGCTAGCGGCGGTGGTCGTGGTAGTGGCGGGCGCAGCTCGGTGTCGCGTGGCGGCTTAGGTGCGGTTACATGCCAGTATCAGCTTCAGACCGGCCCCTGCCATGGCTCCGTTTGCTCCCGGTCTTGCCACACCACTGACCGCTGCTACCGCCACTTGGACAACCTTTTCCGCCACCGCTTTGGTCCCATGTCGGACCCTCCTGACTGGTACGCCCTGGCTCCCCACCGTGTGCCTGTCTTTGAGCTTGACATGGATCATATTAGGAATGCTATGTCTGTCATGTATGTTGATTACTCTAGTGTGATTGGACCCTATTACCCGGTGTTGCCTAGCGTAGGTGTGTCCCCTGTGTGTAGTCTAGGCTCCCCTGTTGCATCAAGCGTAGAACCCTCTGCCTTGTTTAACCTAGGCTCTACGCTCGCCCCTCTTCCTACTGACGCTACTGTGTCACTCTCCTTTACGCTCGACTCTGGAGCATCTGCCTGTTTCTTTCGCGACCACACTGCTCTCACGCCGTTTGCTGCCCCCGCTACAGTAGCGCTTGCTGACCCCTCCTCATGTCCGGTAGTAGACCGTAGCTCCACTACCCTCCCCTGTCCGGCAGTCCCCTCGGGCTCTCTTACAGGCCAGCACATCCCCTCGTTCTCCAAGAACCTAGTTGGTGTCGGCTGTCTTCAGGACCTCGGCGTCACCACTACGTTCCCTGGACACGAGCGGTACGCGGTTTCAACCGAGGCTGCCACTGGTGCCCCTCTGACCACGTTCCCGCGGAACCCTGTGTCCGGCCTGTTTACGCTTGACACTACGCCCCCCCCCAGTGAGGGCGTCCCCCCACATGCCTGCGGTGACCCAGGACGCCGCGGCTTACTTGTGTCGATCGCTCACTCACCGGTCGCTGCTATGGCACCACCGCCTAGGTCCCCTCGCACTCCCGCGTATGCGTCACATGTCCCATCACGGTCTTGTGTTCGCTCTCCCTGTGTCGCTCCCTGCCCTTCCCCCCTCGCTTGCACCGCCGTGTACACCTTGCGTCGAGGGTCGGCTGCGCCGTGCTCCTCACTCCTCCTCGTTTCCCCCTACCACTGCACCACTCCAGATTCTGCACTTGGACGTTTGGGGTTCAGCCCCCATCCTGGGTCGCATCGAGAGCGCTACTTTCTAGTACTTGTCGATGACTACACGCGTTACACCATGGTGTTTCCCCTGGAGCAGAAGGCCGACGTGCCAGACGTTCTTATCCCATGGGTCGTAGCTGCGCGCATCCACCGCGGCCTCACAATTCTTCGTCTCCACTCCTACCGTAGCGGCGAGTTTGCCTACGGCCAGCTTGGCCGTTTCTGTCGTGCGGAGGGCATCAACCAGTCGTACACCCTCCCGGACTCCCCGCAGCATAATGGGGTCGCTGAGGGACGCATCGGTTGGGTCATGGAGGTGGCTCATACCTCCACGCCGGTGCACCCCATTTTCTGTGGCCGTTCACTGTTCGCTATGCCGCTCACAAGCTTATCCTGTGGCCACACTCTCAGTGGCTGCAGGTTTGCCGACCCTTTTTTAGACTGGGTTCCCTGGTGACGCGTCTGCGTTCCACGTCTGGGGCTGCCTCGCTCACGTTTGTGCCTCTGGCACGGACAAGCTCACTGCCCACACTATTCCCTGTGTCCTCATTGGTTTCCCCCTTGACGTGTCTGATTGGCACTTCTACCACCCGCCTTCTCATCGCTTCTTTCACTTGCGTAACGTAACTTTTGACGAGTCTGTCTCCTTCTACCACCGCTTTCCCCACCGAGGTCTCTCGATTTCCCCGCCCATGTTTCTGGTTCCCGCTCCCCTGGTAGCCCCTGCTCCTCTCCCTCCCCATCCTGCCCCATCTGGTAAATCGCACGTCACTCCCCTCCCGTCACTTGTCCCGGTTGAGGAGTCGGTTGATTCCGGGGATCCCGCGGTTTCAGTTTTGCCGCCTGTCTCCGCCCTGGTGTCCCCTCCTCCTCCACCGCCGCCGCCGCTGTAGTAGCATCCATCACCGCCGTCGCAGCCGCAGCAGCAGCCGCAGCCGCACCAGCCACCGGGGTTCGCGAGTTCTAGGGGTGGGGGCGTTTGGGAGGGTGCTAGTTATGGGGTTACTATTGTGGCTTGTCCCGGCGGTCTCGGGGGTGGCACCGGTGCTGGAGAGGTTTCTTGTTATGGGGATGTTGGTTCTAGGGGTGCTAATCCTGGGGTTACTATCGTGGCTTGTCCCAACAGTCTGAGGGGTGGCACCGGTGCTGGAGAGGGTTCTCGTTCTGAGGGTGTTGGCGTGGCGTGTCCTAGAGGTAGCCATGGTAAAGGTTGAGGTTCTAGTGTCTGCGTGGAGCAGCAGGAGCACCAGCAGCTGCAATCGCCGATGGTGTCTGCCCTTCACCTCCTCGGCCTTCCCTCCCCTGACCACCCGCCTGTGCCTCCTCCGCCGCCACGTCCACTGCCTGTCCACGGCCCTGTCTTTCCTTCGTCGGACTCGTCTCTAGCTCGTCTCCCCTCGGACTCTGTCTCACGTCTGGTCTCGCCGTCCCTCCCGTGCTCGTTCATTCTCCCCTGTTCAGCACTCCCACCCTATGTTGCTTCGTTCCCACGCGTCCCGTCCTTCCCTCCTCCCATCGCCTCCTACGTCCTCACTTGCTGTTGCTCTGCCTCCTCTGTCTGACTACCTTTGTGCCACTAGCCCTCTTGTTCCTCGGGTCCTTGCCTCCCTCGTTACCAACCCGTTTGTTCCTGTCTCGAGTCTTGATGCGCTTGTCGCTGCCGTCGTTGACTTCGCATCTACCCGCCGCCTTTACTACGCCACTGCTCTAGTCTCTGGCCCTGCCCGTCCTCCGTCCGTCGGGGGTGCTTCTGCCCTTGGCAATGACGTCCTGGAGGACTGGCAATAGCAGTGGCGTAGTCAAGGCGGTGGGTAGAGACGAAGTCAGCGACGGCAGCGACAAGCGCGTCAAGACTGGAGACAGGAACAGACGGGTCGGTAAGAAGGGAGGCAAGGACCCGAGGAACAAGAGGACTAGTGGCACGAAGGAAGTCAGACAAAGGAGGTGGAGCGACAACAAGGGACGACGGAGGAGGTGACGAGAGGAGGGGAGGACGACTCGCGTGGGAACTAATCAGCATAGGGTGAGAGCGCTGAAAAGGAGAAGCACGGGAGGGACGACAAGACCAGACGTGAGACGGGGACGTCGGGTCAGCAGATAGAGGAGGAAACACTGGAGGGGAACGAGGGGGAAAACGAGCCAGAGACGAGTCCGGCAGAGGAAACACAGGGCCGTAGACAGGCAGGGGAGGCGGCGGCAGGGGAGGCACAGGCCGGCGATCAGGGGAGGGAAGACCGTCGAGGCGAAGTGCGGACACTGGCTGCGACGGCTGCTGCTGCGCCACACTGACACCAAAACCACAGCTACCTCCAGCTGCACTACGGCTACCTCTGGAATGCTCCACTCCAGCACCCCCAGAACAAGAA